TTGTAATTAGAAGAGATAATTATTTGCTTTACTTTATTTACTGTTCTATGTTTTAAGAAAAATAAGTTTAAGAGCTTATTTGTAAATAGAAATAATGTATATACATATATAATGTATAATAGTTGAAATGTGACTGTATTTTGCAAAATACTAGTCCACTAAAACACAGCCAAGACAGGTTACTTTGTAACGGTCAGTTGTATATTATTGGATGCGGGAACAGGAGTGTACGCCGCATCATTGCAACTTCATTATTGTCAGCCAGGCACAGTTGGAAAGTCAATATAATAAATATATATATAAATGTATAATGTTATGAGATTTAAGCTAGTTAGACTCAAAATTAGTGTTTTTGTGTTATAATTTGTAGTCATTCTAGAATGAAAAAAAAAGCATAATTTATATATTTTTCCTAATTTTTTATTGAGGTTACGAAGTTGGTCATATCAAACTAACCCGTACAGAAATACACTAGTGAAAAATAACAAATAGAATATAGTTTTTCAAACAAAAAATTTTATAATTATCTGGAGATTATAAAGATTTTGCATCTGAAATTTGAAAATGTTCTAGTGCATCAAAGTATTTTTATCTTAAAATCAAAATTGCTTTGTATGTTGGATAGTCAACATTCTGAAAGAGAAAATCTTTAATTAACAAATCTTAATACTTAATTTTAAAACCCGATATTTTGTGTACGAAAACCATGTAATGTTTGCCAATAACCTGCAACATTTTATAAAGAAATGCTTACCTTATGAAAAATCATACTCTCATGAATATTTTCATGGTTACGAGCTGGGTAGATTTCACCCAGCCCATAATGGAAGGGTTAATCAAATGTAAATTAGTAATGGGACCATCAGTTAATTGATTTGCAAATGCTACTAATCATCCAACTCCTAATTGCAAGACAGAATGTTATTAAATCAGAGCAGTAATAATTTTGCTTTGTGTGTCTCATTAGTCCTTGCTGTCATGGTTCTCCAGGTTTTTATATATACAAACAGTAGTTTACATCATGAACTCTACAAATTTATTATGAACTCTGGCTCTTTCAACATCTTGTGTTATATTTTACATTGATCCTTCTCATCGTGCTTATTTTTAAGGCTTATTATGTTTGTCAACTTATGCCTTCCTCTTTACATACAGCTAAAAGTTTGACATTGCAAATGGTGAACAGTGACATTGTACTGTTCACTATTGTCCATGCTGTTTCTGTAGTTTAGCCACTTACTACTTTGTTGTTTAGTTTTGGCACTTGGCCCAGTCATAGATGTTAGAATTATAGTGAAAAGACCTTGAGTGTCCTTCTCTGCTTGCTGTACTTTTTCTGATGTCATACAGGTTGTTTATTGGGTGTATTTTTCAGCTGTGGCTCATAAGAGTTTTTGAAACTCATTTTCCTCATGCTTTGTATTTTGAGCTTTTGGTCAGGATTCTTTTGAAGTTAGTGGTCATCTACTTAATACTGTGAATAACTAGTCCTGTTCATTACAACTTTTACATAAATCTACAGCAGGGTGTTTTTAATATAATAGCCAAATTTCATGGTTTAAAAAAATGTTGAAATTAAATTATTGCGCATGCACAACATAAGAACTTGTGTGTGTGTATATATATAGGTAGATGTTTTTGAAAATTAACACATAGAGTATGTGACTAATCTGTGTGCATGTGTACATTTTGTATATATTTTTATGTGTTTTTAAGCAAAATTCACTCTATTGATTTCACAAAATCATTTTCTTCTATTTGAAAATAAATCGTATAGCATTTTGTGAGTGTTTGCAAGTTTCATCTATATGCTTCATATATTTATAGCTATATTTCTTAAAGGTAGAATTTCCTGATGAACTTATAAGAATTTTTGGAATAGTGGTGAACATGCAAGTCATAATATCATATATTTATGTATACTAACATCACAGATCATAGGGCAAATAGGATTTGAGGTTGTATATACAGAAATATTGAATACAAGTCTAAAAAAGATTATAATTTTATTGCATATGTCACTGGTTAGGCCATATTTGGAATATTATGTTCAATCATGAGCTCCTTACCTTAGGAAAGACATTTAATTGTTGGAAAGTGTTCATAGGAGGGCTACTAGGATGATATCTGGAATCTTTAAGGCAGTCGTAGAAGGACAGGTCCGAAATTTAGTTTCTATTGAAAAAGAAAGAAAATTCCTACTTAACAGTGAGAATAGTAGAACTAGGGGATAGTCTTTTGGCAGGATAGGAGTCACCTTCAGCTAAGATAGTTTTCTTTTTATAACAGGATCTTTATGGTCTTTGGAATGGATTGCCTTTAGATGTTGTGGATTCAGTAAATCTAAGGGAAAGCATGATAAATATATATTTTTTAAGTTTAGGATTTGGGATGGTGTAGGTGGAACAACAAGCCTATTGTTGTCCTTAAATTTTGTTATGCTATTTCTTGAAAATGAAGAAGCTGAAATTCTTTTCTCATGATTTATATTTTATTAGAGAATTCTACAAATCTATTAATATGGTCACAATGATGATTGATGATAACTTCTAACAAGGCATACAGACGTTGAAAATTTTTATAGTGAAGAAATTTTCTTTAGTATCATGCAGCCAGTTTCATATTGGGTTATAGACCCTAAACTGGACATGATATTTACTGTTATTCAGTAATTTAATGTTAAGTAGTTAATTCTGTTGTAAAAAGGTTCAGTTACACATGTTAGTGAAGACCTTCCACAATAACTTAAATTAATGTTGATACTCAGCTGCAGGAGTAATTTATCTTCTTAAGTCTGCAACTCTAAAGAGTAAATTTGTTTTAAGTAAACCATAACTTTTCTCAAGTGTGTACATGCAGATATGACAGTATCATTGTCATAGTTATTGGATGATAGAAATTGTAAAATATTATAATCACTGTTTACAAGTTTTTTGTTGTTTTTTCTTTCAGTCTTTCTATCAATTGCTAGATCAATGCCACATTTCTTTTTTTTTTTAAATCATTCTTTAAATGCATGAACATCTTAGGCATACAATTTTTTTGTGGTCCAAAGTATAAGTGACATTTCTTATTTAGGTCCCGTCCTTTCTATATCATATAGGATAAAGTTCCTACTGAAACTTCTTGGGAAATTTTAAAACTTATGAAACTAGTGTGTGTAATTTCTATGCAGATACTAAAATAACATTGATCTTATTTGTGATTAGATGTAATCAGAAATCAAATATAATGTTTGATGTTACTATCAAATATAGATAGAATATTGTTAAAAGCTAGAAACACAGAAATTAGATAAAAGATATAGGATGGAGAAAAGCACGCTGACCTTTTAGCCAAAATACCTTCAGATATTTAATATTAAGTATGTATTCTTAGTTTATCGGTGATTAAAAATTGATTCCAATCCAAATAAATAAGATGAAATAAAAAATGTAATTTGATAAGAATATTACAGTGGTTCAGCTAACTAAATGTATACGGGGTTAGTCCATTGGACCGACTGTATTGTAGAAATAGTGTTGACTATAAATCCAAACTTAGAAACTGTATCTTCATAAATTGTAGCAAAATTTTGCTATTATTTTGGTCAATGGCACATGCCTGTTGTGTACACAAAATTGGATGTGTTACTAAAGTTTTTGTACTAAGGATATATTTGCAAAATGCTGACATCAGTCTGACTTAGACTTTGACAAGTTGGAGTGCAAGGTAATGTTCATGGGAAAAATAAAAATACTTTTGTCTACTGTAGAGTTTGCAAGCTGCATTTGCATAACCTTTAATACTTCCTAAATGCATATCTAAAGTTTTTTTTGTATATTGTATTTGGTATTTTCTCTAATGTGAACTGTTATGAAATCAGCAGTAAAGAGTAACATGAAATGTTGATAACTTTGGCTTCAAATGCATAATATTATGTTGAATTGCACACTGTACAAGGTCGGGGCATGTAGACTTTGTTTCCACCTGTGCACATAGGGTTAATGCAAAAATTTGTGTGATATAATGAGTTAAGATGTCAAGAAAGGTGTATGAAGTGGGTCTTGAACCCAGGAAACTTAACTCACACTGGTGCTTGGAAACTTGCTCTACAAACAAGGACTCCAAGATCTGGTTTGATTGTTACAATATGTATGCATAATCCTACATGGTTTACATAGTATGTACATACATAAAGTTTATCATGTCACATTTAGTAATTGCTTTGTGTTGAAATTTCACACAATTTTACTTGAGATAACTCTGACAGTTAATCAGGTTTTCAATGTTTGGGAAACATAAAATATTTGACAAGAAGTAAACTAGAAGTGTTGGAGAATTAAGTGTTATTAATAATTAATCAAAGGGCAATAAAGTAAGGACATAGAGGTTTGTTTCCTTTAAAATATTCCTTTTACAAATGCACATTGTAAAATAATCTTGATTTTAATAATTTGATACAAAAGCTGTCAAATATTTAAAATGTTCTTTAAAAAATTACTGTTTCAAGTTTTCTTAAATATGTTTCAAAATGTACCTTTTCATATCAGACACAACAAAATTTTTGCACAGAATAGTCATTCTTATTTCTATGATTTGAATATTTATATCTGCCACATGACAAAAATGTATATGTAGTACTTAAACAACCCCTACATCCTTAATTCTGTCAGTACATGTAGTGTTTGAATACAATCAGGGGTGAAATTCTCAAAAAAAAAAAGTAGAGGTATTCAGCTGGGTGAAGTGGACCTGTTTTTAAAAAAAAAATGTACATGAAAAGAAAAGTGTCAATGAATAAATGCTTTCTAATGGAACACATGAGCATGCGGAAAAAGCAGCTCAAATAAGTCCCAGTACTATTAGTGTCTTAAAAAATAATTTCCGCTACTCAGTACCACTAAGTACCAGCAGAATTTCACCCCTGAATACAATATTCATTAAATGTACTAGTAAAATTGAAATTTTTTATCAACATATGATATTTAAATATTATCATTCATAACTGTTTTTTCCAGAATCTGAGGCTGTGGGTGAAGGAGAGAATGGTGGTACTCATCTGTAATAGAATCTCTTGCTGAATTGGATTTCAGCCATGAATCAATGTAACACTCAAAATAAAATTTCAAAACCTTTTGCTAGAACAGGTAAAAAGATTAATTCAGCTAGAATTCATAAAACATGTCAGAAAAGCACAAAAGATTTGTTTAAAAATCAGCAAGTTGAAACTAGTGCACATACTTTTGAAGCTGAAACAAATGAAGTTTCAGTTAAAAGTACTTTTTTTACTGGAGAAGGATTTCATCATCCAACAAATGGGGAGAATAAACAACATGATGTAGACACAAAAGAGATGAATACGCATGCTGATTGTTCTTATACCCTATCATCATCTATCTCTGAAATATCTTCTAAAGATCAACAAATTGTGACATCATCAGTTTTAAATATACCTCAAAGGGATCAACAAGACAAATCAGAAAATATGAAAAATTCTCAGGTAAAGGTCTTATCTTCACTTCAAGAAGATAAAAACCATAGACTTGAAGAAGTAGCACAAGCAGAGAAAAATGATGATGAGAAACTAAGAAGGGCTGCTGAAAAGTTGCCAAAAAAGCGCAAGTTTCATATGATAGAGAATAACTCAGTAACAGAAAATGAAAGTAGTTGTACAGCTGCCAAACAAAGTTTTACTTCTTTTGATATGATACACACTATGTATTCCAGATCTAACCAATCATTCTGTGGGGATCAAGTTATCAGTGAGAATATTTTAAACTTGGACTTGAATGAATGGAAAGGGCATAGGGTTCTTGCAAAAAGCAATGGACTGTACCACGCAGGAGTAATTAAAGAGGTTCAAAACCACTGTGATATTGGTGTACTTTATGATGGAGAGCTTTCTGTCACGCTTTTTTGTGATGTATTAGTAGAAAGTGAGAGACGGTATGATATTATTAGTGATCATAGTCCTATTCCAGATCAGATTCAAGTTGGTTCTGAAGTTTGTGTACAAGTTAATATTACAGAAAAGGTATTTGTTGAGGGAGTTATTGTGGAATTATTTCCAAGGTTGTTGCAGTATAAGGTTTGTTTAATAAATGCAGAAAACCATTGCATTCAAGCTTCTAGGGCAAATTTGAGGTTAAAACTTCCTCCCTGGTGGGCAGAGCTGGGCCTTCTTTCTAGTCCACCAGTTTCAGAACTTGCTACTTTGAAGGTGTCACAAAGTGTAAAAGAGCCAGTCACCATCATACATCAGTCTGCAAAACAACCAACTACATCTCAAGCACAGGAGTGGAACTTGAAACTGCAATATGGCCAGACAGAAGCATTTTCACTCTTGCAACCTGATTCGCCCATGCAGGTCATGGGTAGCCAACAAGCATTCCAGCAACCTGGACAACAAGGAATGCATGTTGAAACCATAAATATTACTCCACCCATTACAAGGGCAAATTCAACATCTTCATGGACACACGTGCAATCATCTTCTTACACTGTTCCAGTGAGGCCAGGTGATGAAGATGACTCTTCAGATGATGATCTCAATAAAGAAGATATTAGATTTGAAGCTGATTTTCCACCAGAACCCTCTGTCTGCACTCCACGGTCTTCATCTTTGTCTAGAGGAAGTTTGACATCAACATGTGGGAACTATAGAGGTGATATGAGTAGGGCAAGTACAACAACTTCAGATCGAGGTGGAACACCTAGGTCACCAGCATTATCAGCTCAGAAATACAAGAAAGGAGACATAGTAGCTACACCAAGTGGGATCAGGAAGAAATTCAATGGAAAGCAGTGGAGAAGACTGTGTTCCAAAGAAGGATGTACAAAAGAGTCTCAGCGTCAAGGGTATTGCTCCAGACATTTATCATCTAAAAGTAAAACTGTACCAACACCATCTATTTCTCTCTTAGGATGTAGGAAAACAAATCTAAAAACTTCTGAATCTGGGGTAGAAGTTGAATGGGAAGGTGATGATCTTAGAGAAGATGTTGATACAAGTCCAGTATTTCCAGACAAAGAAAGAAGGTTACAGGGGCCATTTAACATGGATGAAACAGAGGCTGCAAATATGTTAGTGTCTTTAGGAAGTTCAGGATCAACAACTCCTGCAGGTACACCAATACCTATCTCTCCCCACTCAAGTTCTAATAAGCACAGTCCATTACCAAATGCAGCTGCTGGAAGCCGAGCCAATTATTTTACTCCTATAGGAGATCCACGTGTTCACCAAAGATCTCTTTCTGGCTTTTGTCAAAATCCAAGTGTTATAGAGCCTAAAGAACCTACTCTTTTGGGTGCACCTTTGTCAGCTTCTTCTTTTCATAACTTTACTTTACCACCTTTAGAGTATAGCCAGACTGAAACTCTTTGTGGTGAATTTTCATCATCTCAACCAATTTCCATAATTCAACAAGGTGGACAGACTGCTGTAGTGTGTGTGGTAACAACACGTGGAGAAGATGGTGTGTCAGTGATTCAGTCTTCTGCTCCTTTATCCAAGCCTGTCCCCCTTGTTGAGCTGCAGGCTCAGCGGAAAAATCCTGGAGAACAAACTATACAGTTAGCCAACTATAGGCCTGAAGCTACTGCATTTCAGAAACAAGCTCCAACATCAGCTTCTGTAATTAACCAGTTTGACAGATCTTCTGTAATAAAATCTCAGTATCAAGGTCATTCATATACATCTTCTGGTCAGATAAATGAACATTATGCTACTGATGAAACTTCAGTGAAAGGAAATGATTTAAATGGGTCACACCTGTTGCTTCACAGTTCTGCAGAATCTGAAAGAGATAAAAAACATGCCTTATCCGAGGTTGAGTTATTACAGAACCAAAATCAGAATTTTAAGAAATTTAGAACATCGGATTTGCATACACTCAAAGAAGATCAATCCACTGGTCAAGCATCATCTCAGTATTTTCCATCAATACCAACTGTCCAAATTCAGGATATTGATGACCACTCAAATGGATTCAAGAATGGAGAAGGTTAGTGTACACATTTACTTAAGCCTAGTGTTATTTGTTATTTTTCTAATTAAATATTATTTTTTAATATTTGTCTATGAATAAAGTATGTTATAGAATTCTCACCCACAGTGTAATGCTAAGTAGAATATTTTGTTTCTCTTGGCAAATAACATTTATGTTGTACACAGTCAGTATAGGTTTTTACACTTTTATTCAGACAGTTTACTTAAGTCTTCAGCTAAGTGCAAATGGACTGCAGTAGCCTTGTTAAGAACAAACTGACCATTCCTGGTCAGCCATCATTGTAGGGACAGAATTTGGTGTCAGTAAAACATTTGATCTTAGATGCTTAAGTATGACACAGACTTTTATTTCAATGTTCAATATTCATAGAATTAAGGTTAGAAGTGATTTCTAAATAAGTTTTTGTTTACATACTGCAATGTTTGCATACAATAGACAGTTTAAGGCCAAGCTCTGTCATTATGACTATATTCTGTATAATTAAATGCTTCTATAACCATATTTTATATAACCCTTTATAACAAATTCAAGAGTTGAGTATAAATGTCATACAAATCTAAGGTTCTCTACAAAAAACTTTATAAAAGGCATTTGTTGTAAATTGTTTTTGATACATATTTTGTACAGTTTTTCTTGTAAAATGGCTATGTCACTATTAATTTCTTGTGACATTGATGTTATTCAAAATTTTAGTCATGATATTAAATCTTGTAAACAATACACTTAGCACTCATACAAAAATATAAATGATTATTAAATTTGTAGTTTTAAAATGCTACATTACATTTAGACTAAAACCAAATGCTTTTTTATGTGTAAAAATCTGTTGGAGTTTATTTTTATGCCATTATGTGTCACTAAATCTTAAAAAAGCTGGTAGAAAATAGTTATTGATTCTAACAATTTCTCTTAATATTTCAAATAATATCATAGTTTTGTTGTGTTTTTAATGTATTTGGTTATCAAACTTTCAGATATTGTGACAAAGAGATTTTCTATAACTTTGGAATCATATTATTTTACAGGTCATTCAACTCAAAATATAACATACATGTATATTTGTTTATTCTGGCAATAAGTCTACAGAATTTATAAGTCCTCCAATTGTTTTATTTAACCTCTTCAAAAAAATTAGAAATGTCAAGTGTAAATAAGACTGAATTATCTGGAAAAGAAAAAGAAACTGGACACAAGTAATTCTCAAAGACAGCACTTTTTATTACATTGTACTGTCCAAAACCTAGCATCAGAAATTGTGCTCTTGGCACCAAGTCCAGTCATTTCTTTAAAGGCCAGTGACTGAGACACCAGTGTCATGAAAGGTATTGGCATCTGGAGACCAGGGAGAGCACTAGCCATTTTACAGTGAAGTAGCTGAAGGGGCTGGACAAAAAATTGAGGGGGATGGATTCTGCATCTTTTGGGCACACATACTGTAATATTTAGGAAGTAAACCAGCTTGAACAGTAAGCATTGTTCTTTTTGTTTGTGTGTGTGTGGGTGGGGGGGGGGACTACAGCAGAGACTAAGGCACACTTTGCTGTAACTTCAGTCTGAACAAAAAGCAAGACCTCCCATACTGCCACCCTTGCTGGAGTCTGCAACATTTTAACAAATCTGGATCTCCCATTCCTGGTCAGTAGTGAAATGTGTCATGTTGATGTTACCTGGCAACTCTACTCACTTATGAATCAATAGGTGACCTCTGGTAATTCAGCAGGCTGTCTCTCTTCATAGGGGTTTCAGTGAGTATGCCAGTGGTCTTCAATCCCTTTCTTTGGCACTGGAAACTCCAACAAGTGATTAGGTTAAGCCATTTTGGCAGGTCTGGGATTCCTGTAAAGACCTTTCCATTTGGTCTCAGGATGACTATGTCTTGCATCATCATAGTAACCAACAGTTATTGGTTTCTCCCACATACTGGGATAGAGTTTGGAGAGAAAGAGAGTGGTCAACAGCTGGGAAGGTTCCGGGATGCAACTTATCTCCCTTTTTCAGTGGCCAGACAGAAAACTCCTGCATAACTCTTTTGTATAAGGTGAGAATTCCACATTGAGAAGAAGAATACTCCATGTCCTTTCTCTTCCTACCACATCCACAATCTAGCAGTCATATCTTTTTCTCCACCACAAGCTCATCATTTTGGAAAGGGCCTTTCCATGTTAAGAAAATTTAAATTTAGGATTATTTAAAACATGAGGAGCACAGAAAAATGCATGACATTTAAACTTCACAAAAGCAACTTCTTGATCGCATCACCAAAGTGTATTTTACGGATTAGTTTGTGGTAATCTCAGGTGAAGTGAAATGCATAGCTAAATTACTAGTACAATGAAACAGGAGGTTTGGTAAGGTTTGAAATGCAAGTTAAATAAGGCTGAGTCGATCATAAATTAAAGTCTAAATTATTCAAACCCAAAAAACATGTTTTTGCACTTTGAGAAAAAGAAAATCAGTGAGAATAGTCTAGGTTTGGAACTCTATGTGGCTACTGTATCAGTAGCAAGGTATCTACACAGTCATTCTACAGTACCAGATTTCCTGGATATAACATGCAAAACCCAAAGCTCCACTAGGACTCTTAGAATGCTAAGCCATGAATCTCATCAGAAGCCTCTTTTTTTTAAAAAAAAAAGAAACTCATGGTTTCTGACTTTTCTATCTTCACATACAACTAATCAACATGTCAGAAATCTAAGACCATTTAATGAATTATCCAGAAAGTCAAGAAGATGTGACCATAATTTAGGGTACAACCTGCCAATGTGCAAGAAAATTCCTGAATGCAATTCAAGGTTGGGAACACCCTAGTTTTTTTTAAACTTGAAGATTGGTTTTTAAAAAAATGTGTGAATAAAGATATATTTATTGTCTATTTTATAGATAGGTTTAGTTTATAGTGAGTAAGCAGGTCTATCCAAATCCATTCATGGGGTACATGCCTCAGCAAAACATTTATCCATGAGAAACATTCCACCACAACATCTGCCCATGGGATACATGCCACAGAAAATGCCAATTACTCTGCCTAGGCATCAACCAAGATAAGAAGAGCAAACACTTGCTGTGCCAAGTAGCAAAGATGGCAGAGCTATCAGTTTCAGCTGATGGCTCAGTAGATGCTATGCAACCCCTCAATGTCAGCACATTGCCAAGCAACAAAACTGGCAAGGTGTCAATACTAACTGTTGGATCATCAGGTACAGGATGACCAGCAACAACTGGTGGACACTGTGGAAATAGCTCCAGAAAACTGATGGACCCCAAGTCAGACTTGATCACCAGCTTGGGGAAACAGCAAGTTGCTTGCATCAATTAGTTTAGGATCAGCCAGGCTCTTTCAAGTGTGGATAGTGCTTGGTGTGTATTGAAGAGGTTACAAGGGTTAGAGGTTGAGTTTCTGGCAGACCAGCAATGGTGAGAATTTTAGTGGACCTTGTATTCTTTCAAACTCTCTGAGAGCGACCACTGCTATGAGCAGTGGCAAAAGGTGATAGAGTAGACATTAGAGGAGAGGTGGATCTCTGGCTCAGTAGTCTTTACCAATCTGGAATCAATACTTATGAGATAGACTTGCTGTGGAGCTTGCCCATCAATTTTTTCTGTGTAGCAGCTGAACTGGTTTTCTGTGAAAAATACATCCAATATCAACGAAACCAAACCCAGGAACAGTGGAGTTAGTGAGTGTATGTAGCAGAGCAAATAATAGCACCTGCAAATATACAAGTAATGCTCCAGGGTTTAATCCAGGCAAAGTCTAATGTGTTGATGCTGTGTAATGTGGTTATAGAAGCCATGCACAAAGTAAACATTTTCCTGTCCAGAAAGCAGGCAGCATTGACTCGTAGACAGTTATTTGTCTAACAAGAGATAAATTTCCAATGTTGTTTTGTATTTATGGGTGATCAAATATCTAACTGGGTGTTAGAATTGTTGTATGCAAGGTGAGTAAAGTGACTTGTTGGGTAAATACGATGATGTATTTATAAAATCAGATGGCTGATTGGGTCGAACAACAGTGACTCAACACCATATAGACACAGGCTGCACAGGTCAAGTAAAACAACTGCTGATCTAGCTACCCTGAAGCACTATAAAAGTCACAAGAACTGACATGTAGTGGAATCCTGCAAGAGAGAATCATGAAACTTTTGGAGAATGTTTGATAGTCTCTAGTAATAATTGTTAAAAAGAAGAAATATACACCAAGGAATGTGGTAACTCCCATTATGCCTTCCTGTTACTATGAACAGATGATTGTCTAGTCGTGATATATGATTCTTGTTGATTTAATACCTTGCATTTGGCATATGGATACTGGCAAATCAAATTGGACAACAAAAGTAGGCCTAAGACTGCTTTTAGCACAAGAGATGGCTTGTATGAATTCCATGTTATTCCATTTGGTCATTGCAAGTACAACACCTCAATTACGTTTGAGCAGCTAATGTAGCTTACACTCAAGGGACTGCAATGGGAGAGATGCCTGGACTTTGTCAATTATATTTTGGTATTTGACAACTTCCACTTCTGTATCTGAGAACCTGAAAATATTGCTCCAGTGCAAACAAAACACATTATTGAATTGAAACCAGAAAGGAGTGGAGTTTCTCAGTTATGTTGTAGGGAGAAATGTTGTCTTGATGGACCCATCTAAGATAACTATGATGAGAGATCAGCCTCAACTTTTGATGAAGTGAGAAATTCACAGTGTCCTTGATATCCCATTACCAATGATTCGTGATCAACTTCTCGAAGATAACTGTATGGTTGTTAGTTCTCACAAAAGTGGAGGTACACTTTGGATGGAGAAAGGAATGTGACCAAGTATTCTGATATTAATAAAGCTTCCGTTAGTGGATGTTCCAGTGCTAGCCTATCCATGCCAAAATTGTGAGTTTCTTTTGGACATTGCCATCAGTTATAGTGGAGTCAGAGTAGTGTCATTGCAGGATGGAGTAGAACATGTAATTGCATACACTAGTTGCATGTTC